AGAGTATGCATATCTTGTCAAAATTTAGAATTAAAAGGCATCAAATTCAAGTGAAATTATCTTCTTATGTAAAGAAAATCATAATCAGGCTAAGCATATCCTTTTGATTTTTAGTAAGGCATTTCCCCATCCACTTTACAGTGGCTGTAGGCCCAAAATCTGTGTGGGAGGGGTGGCCAAGAAATTTTTTTTTTTTTTTTTTTTATAAGTTGAACAATGCTAGACCCAGTTATCGAAGAGCAGCCTACAACTCTCGAGCCCAAATCCAATCCCCTTGATATATCCATAATCCAATATCCATTTACCAAAAATTCCCAAATCAAAATCCCATTTATCCCGAACCCTCGTCAGAGTCGTCTCCATTAGGGCTGGGAAAATCTCCCGAACCGAACCAAACTCGACGGTTCTTGTCAAATTAAATACCCTAACGGGTATCTGAATTGAGAACCGACGGGTACGGTTCGGTTCTCGGTTCTAGGTCAAGAACCGAATCTTTCTTTTTTTTTAATATTGAATAAATCAAATTATTTTAATTTTAATTTTTTCTAAACAAATTAACAATTCTTAAATCCAAATTTTTGGCCCAATAATTTGTTTCATTTCTAATTTTTTAATTTTGGCCCAATTACCATTTTATTGTTTCATTTCTTAGCCCAACAAGATCTAACCCACTAAATAACCTTAAACACCTACACTGAAGTGCATAACGCTGTCTCGACTCTTGTAACCTCGTTGACATTTCAAAACCTATACAATTGCCGGCCGATGTTGTGACCTCCGATCGAAGCTATGACCTCCACGGACCAAAGCTTTGACCATAGCGATCATTTGACCAAAGTAATCTACCAGTCTCTGACATTCCAAAACCTTTGAATGTATCATTAGTTGTATTTATATAATGTTATTATAAATGTTAAAAAATTTAATTATAGTACAAAACTGAACGGAACCGAACCGAACCCGAACGGTTCCATAATTATATTTGGACCCGACAGTTCCATTAACTAGATACCCGAAAATTTTTGTTCAGTTCGGTTCTCTTTAGAACCGAACCGATCCGCGCCCCACCTCTAGTCTCCGTTGCTTCCTTCTCTCTTCTCGACTTCTCCTTCCAGATTTCCTCTTCGTCAAAGTCTCGGACACCGGTTCCACAGTTGGCTATTAGTATAGTATGTTACTCTGTTACATTATGAATTTCATTTGAGTTATTTGATTACATTTGGTACACCCACTCTTGTCTGTTCATCGGTTTTCCCGTTTTCAGTTTCTGCACAATACATTGCTGTTCAACGTGTTCATTTATGGCTTTTACTTTACTTTTATTTATTATAATTTTGCTGACTTGATTTTAATTGATAAATGCTATTTTTCTATTACACCAAAGAATATTTTATTCAATATCAAGAAAAATGTTTTAGGCAGTCTAATAATTGGAAATTGGAATAATTATGGATAATGGACCAGAAATGTAAAATATAAATTTTGCTGGGTTCTCTATAATCTATTTTTTGCATTACTCAACAGGACAAGCAAATCAAATGGGAATTTTGGTTGGTTGGAGTAGAAAAGACCTGACCTGAGTAAAGTTAGGCTTAAAACATTAAAATTGAAACCTAATGGAATATTGGAATTTGATGTAAACAATATTAAAATTTCAACGAGAATAGCCCCACCAATTGAAACCCTGATTACAGCACAAAGTGGCAGAGCATAGAAAAGTGTATCGGTGTTTGATGTTAAATTTCATATTTGTATTGGTGTTTGATATTAAATTTTTGTTTCAGACTTGTGAGTTGTGACGGTGAAATTCTCGAGGGTGTAATTCTAGAGTTTTCATCGAAATTACTTCTAAGGTAAACAATGGCTTGCCCTAACTTGTTATTGAAGATATTAGAAATGTTTGAAATCTTGTTGGCTTATGTAATTGCGTCCTGTCAGCTCATATATTTGATTATTATATGATCAACAATTGCACAGGCACATGTAACAAGGGATAGGACCTAATTTCCGCATTCTAATTTGCATCAAACCGAAAAAAGAAACAACAAAAACCCAAGACAAAAACTTATAACCCATTATTATCCCAGCCCAATTCCTCAAATCCAAACCTATACATTTCATCGTCACCACCTCTCTCTAGTATCGCTCCAGTCATCGACGTCTCTGGCTATAATTGGCTCCTGCTCTCACTGCTCCGGTCAATCACACCTATAAAACTTCATTTTGCAAAGGATTTTTGTTGTCGTTTGGCTTCATTTTCTACCGTTGTTTGATTTTAACCCTAACAACTGCTCTCCAGACCCTTCTCCATTCTATTGCAATATGCTACTTTCCTCTGATTATCTTCATATTGATGTCGTCTATAGTAACATTCAAATCGTGATATAGTTTTCATTGTTCTTAGATTTTCCATTGTAATTTTTACATGGATGATTTTCATGGCGGGTGAACAAATCTGTAATTTTTTTTAATTATTATTATTTTTTTTTTTTGTAGTGCGAATCGTCTTTTGTTCTTTGCTTAGGATTTATACATGTTTTGATTTTTTTTGGTTCAATTTAGATGTTCAAATTGATTATTTTAGTTTTCTTTTCCATGTCTCAACTCATGAATTATGCTTTGCTCTTTTAAGGTTTCTATTGTGCTCATTTTTAGTTTCGTCACGAAGCTCATACAAACCTTCCTTTTCTCAAAATGGTCAGAGACTCGAAGTCTCTTTAGATTTTGTTCTTTGTGGCTTCAATTTATTTTTCCTTAGGTCTCATGAGTCCGCACTTTATGTTCATGAAATTTTTAACATTTTTATATTTCTGTCTCTATTGTGTGCTCTTGTTCAGAATTCCCAACAGATCTTTCATGGATATAGGGATTGTGTGGATGGAAGAATTCTAACGGGTTTCTGATTTTATGATTTTATTCATATAGGATTTGACTGTTATGGGTTTTCAGTATGTTCCTCTATAGATATGTATAGTTTCAATAAAGTTTACTAGAAGAGTTATGATGTGAGGGTTTTATGTGCCTTCAATTTGGATTTGCCTGGTTTTGATTTGTTAATTTGTTGATTTTCTAGGTTTCTATTCTATGGAACAGTCTGTAATCTTCATAGGGTTGATAATCCGAATCAATTTACAATTGTACATGAGGCATGTGTATTTTTATTTTCACATATTTTTCTTTTCCTTGTTTTCGAGTAAAAGTATATTTGTAGGAATTTGTGTTGAGAATGTGATTGAATGTACAGGAGATGCTTTAGAATTAATATTCCGATATATTTGTAGGTATTTGTCTTGAGAATGCAGTTGAATGTATAGGAGATGCTTTAGAATTAATATTTCGATAGGCAAGTTATGATGATTTAGCTTGCTTCCAACAAAGTATTTATGATACTGGCCAATTTCCATCGTTTATGCAAAAATATGAGATATTAGCCTAGACACTCTTGAATAGGATTAATGAAGGAAAATTCAAAACTATGCCAACCAAAGAGAATATCAGTCTAAACTTTTAATAAGTAAAAGTTAAACTTTTTGTTTCCGGCTATTTTTTTCCTTAAGTTTTTGCTTTATTTGATCATGAAGCAGCTTTACTTCTCCATTTTTTGTAAGTAAAAGTTAAACTTTTTGTTTCCGGCTATTTTTTTCCTTAAGTTTTTGCTTTATTTGATCATGAAACAGCTTTTCTTGCTCCATTTTTTGGTTCTCTTAAGAAATTTACTTATTATAGCTTCCTTATTATTTTTAAATTTTTTTTTACTTTAAAGTAAGCCTTTAAACTCAGGAAACATGCTCCTTCCATTAAAACTTCCCTACATGTAACAATCGATCGTACAAAATACTTATAGCCACCAATAAATTTCAACCTCTTAACAAAATTTCATAAAAAGGGAAAAATGGTTACAGATTAGAGCAGAAGAGTAGTAGAAAAGCAATTGAATTAATAATAGAATTAGCTGCACAATTTTTTTCATTGCCAAGAACTTAATTGTGAAGCCCGAACGAACAGCTGAAGAAGAAAATGAGAACCCAAACTAAATGCATACACCCACTGGGATTAAGCAGTATTATTAATTATTTGGAAGCAAATCAAGAAAATTGCAAATTAATTGAAAAGGCAATAGAAAAGCTGTATTACTAAAAAGTGGTAGAAAAATTGTTTTAAGTAAATTGCAAATTAATTGTTGAACATCTTTGTTATTAAGGTTATGTTTGAGCCACTTTTTTTCAAAAAAATACATTCTTAAATAGTGATTTGACATCATTTCGACCACACATTCTTCAATAAAATAATATTGTACGCAAATCCAAAACTCTTCTTTATTTTTTAACCATACATTTTCCATCAATACATATTCAAAAATACATTCTTAGAAATATAATATGACTCAAACAAGGGCTAAAAGATGTTCTCAACGCTCATTGCAATTTTCATCTTTGTTATTTATCATATATATATATATATATATGCAGCTTGATTTTGTGATAATAGTTTGTGCTCTACTTTGTTTCCATTTTGTATCGAAGGAAGACATAGAAAATGTTCTCAACTCATTATTTGTTGCCTTGTCTGCAAATTAATAAATAGTGGTTAACTGCTCCTCGGAGCATAGCCCAGTGGTGCAAAGAATAGGAGTAAAGTTATCTCACGTCTTGCTGACAGTTGCAGTGTGGGGGTTCGATTCCTGAAATATGGAATTGGACTTCTTGTAGACGCAGTATACAGGCAACTCATGTTCCCTAACCTGTTAGGGCACATCTCGCAATTTACCTCCCTCACAAAGTTCTAGAAGTTGGGTGATGGAGACTTCAAGATTGGAGTTTAACTTTTTTTTAATGAATAGTTGTTGACTAAATAAATTATTGTTATTACCTTGTCAGCACAATGAAACTATTTTTGGATTGTTGTTTTGAGTAATGTATGACTAATAGCCCCCCTTTTTTTGTCCAATTTTAGGAATTTGTAGGTGTAAGTGAACCTCCTCCTAAATTCAACAGGACCAATCTCACCAATGGGGAGAAGACTTGCTGTCATCCCAGAAAGTAATCCTTGCACCTAGCCATCCCCCCCAACAGTGAAAATGGCGTCTACAGACTATGGCTATGAAAAGAGCCTTAAAAACCCTAAACCCCACCATTCTCATAGTCCTGACCTCCCAAAGCCGCCACCTCAACAGCTTTGCCTCCGCCGGGCAACCCGAACCTGACAGCCCATCTTCATCCTTCACCTTTTCCTCTAGTGAAACTGCGCCCACCTCGATATCCAACAAAGACGACAATATATACATCAAAAACCCCAAAAAGACAGGATCTTCTGTTACGATGCCGATTTCATTCATGACTGGGTCGATCGTCGGTGGAAGGTTTTACGAAAAGTTGACTACTAGAGATGCTAATGATGGAAATAGATGGAATGTTATGTTAGATTATCGAACCCTAAAAACTCCTTCAAAGAGACCTCTCAATTGTTCAACTTTAGCTCTTGCTAAAGCCATTGCTGCTGAATGGGAGTTTCAGGTGCTCTCCTATTACGTTTGGATCTATTCCTGTATCTTTCTGTTGGCCATCTCCTTAGAAATGGACAATGATCTGGTTTAAAATCTTAAGCTATTATAAAGAAACCACAAGTATTTATTTAAATTTAGCATTCAACACTTTATTTGCATATGTTTATTTGTCTGTGTTTATATGTTTAGAGAGATATGGATGGTTTTTCATTTGCATCAGCCCAGATTAGTTTTCTCCATAAGTGCGGTTTCTTTGTAAAATTGATGGTTCTTTATTTTTGGATTTTTGGTTAATTTAATTGGTTATTGTTGAAATTGAATTGTACTGGCATGATTGGACCTTCTATGTAAAAATTTAACTAGTGTAATGACAAAACAGTGAGTAAAAGAGTTCTTTTACCCTTACTTCATGCTGTGTAGCATGGGTTTCTCTAGTAACGACAGATGATTGCCTTTTATTTTAATTTTCGGGATAGAATCCATATATTCCTAACCTTTTCAGGGTAAATTTTATCAGTTGTTAGATGATGTTCGTCCATCTTCTATGCATTATTGTGTTATATGGCTTCAATCCGCTGTAGCTTGAGTTTTAGTTGTATCTTTATTTTTCAATTTTCATTTTATAAACTTGGGTTAAAGTTTGAGTGCTAAGTGGAATTTGTAATGAAGTTTTTGTGTTCATAGCAAATAGATGGAATCAGACCATCTACAATGCCTCTTATGAAACTTACATGCACCGCATTGGAAAGAGTGCCACTTACTCGGTACAAAATTATCGAATATTTGATGAAAAAATTCCGTCAAGATTTGGTTCTGCCGTGCTCCAAGAGACAGTGATCTAACAAGCAATGTTCTAGGTATGCATTTTTTTTAAGTATTACCCCACTATCTTCAAATGTCTCTGGTATAATGAGTTTGGCAAATAACTTCTTGCGTAATGTGATTTGATCATATATTAATAAGTTTCAGGATTCTGGCATCACTGCAAGTGCAAGAGGGTTTCATACTGTTATTTGGGTGTGTTAATTGGAAACTTGATGTATGTTATCTTTCTTATGCCCACTTCACTCATTCATTGGAGAGTTGAGAGATCTATGGCCATTTCTTGTGATTGATTTTACGTAGGCTTGTAGGCAATAGAAAAACTAAAATGGAACAAATGATATTAGCTATTAATAATTTTTCCTCAAAGTGGTGACTGAAAATCAAAGAATGAATGGCTCATCCAACTAGAAGCTTGTAAAGAAAAGTTAATGATCAAGTTAAAGAGATTCAAGCTATTAAGCTGTCAATCCAATCTAGGAGGGCCCAGCCCAATGAATACTCGTGCTGGATTTCTTGCTAGCCAAGCATTTAATCTTGATAAAATGCCAAAAAAATTCTCTTGCAAATTTTACACTTAAAAGTCACGTTAAAGTTGACTCTACAAAGTATTCGTTTCTCAGTTTTCTCATAACATCTTTCATTTGAGTTTTGCTAATTGAGATCCGATTAATGAACTTTATATCACAAGCATGCATCTCATTTAGAACCCTTTACAAGAAAAGATGAATGGGCAGGATTTAGTGTTGCTGTAATGTTACCTATTTGCAAATTGTTCAACATGAGTGCGACATTTCTATATGAATTTCATTGGTGTGAATGCAATTTAGACAGAACATCATTAAAGAGAGATAATGGGATACACTTGTCAAGAGATACATCGAATAAAAAGAAACTATTGTAATATGTGGCTCATATAAAGTTGAACACATGTTTGCCAGAATAAATAGACCGATTCCGGAGCGGAGAGCATTGGACTGGATGAAATGGAAATTATAATGGAACCCAAGTCTTAATAGCACTAATTTGGTGGTAAAGATTTTCCCCACCCAGAAATTGAAATATGGATGTAAGATGTGCATTGAGCGCACCACATGCCTAGGTCCAAACGAATAAAATTGTCTTGTGTAACAGAAATGAAACGGTTGCTGCAAGCAAGGCTGTACATTTTGCTTTGAGTGCGCTCCATTTCTATTACCGAACTTAATTATTAATATGTGATCTACCAAAAATTTTCTATGGTCAGATTTTTATCGAACCATCTTCTTGTGAAAGTACGGAAAAAGTCACACCCTAAAAATTAAAAAGCTAAGCTAATGAACAGGCCTCTATATTTCTGAGCTACATTTGATACAAGATGGAAGCTTTTTCAATGGAATGAGACATTCAATACCTCTTTTGAGTTGAAAATTGATGCGCGTTAAGTTTTTACATTTGTGTTGTTTTTTGTTTCTAGTTTTTGTTTATTTTGCTAATATATTGATTTATTTATGTGCAAAACTTTGCAGAACGCCAAGTGGAGAAGCTTGATCCTTTACTCAATTGGGTTGAGTCAGAATTTGGTTTTAAGCCTATTGTATATTCTAGGTTTTTTGGTGGCAAACAGGAGGAAGGTCTGGTTGATACCATTGAGAACCTTCTTAAAAAGACAGATGATTATGAGTTGGCGACAATTGATGCAATTGCTGCTTCTGCGCATTCGTTAGTCATTGCACTTGGAATCTTTTGTGGTCGATTGGACATAGAACAGGCAATTGAGTTGATCAGATTGGAGGAAGATTTACAGGTTCTTGATCGTGTTACATTCCCCCTTAACTTTCCAAAACACAAGGGAAAGCATAAAAAAACACATAAAATGATTATTATGTCAAACAGTATTGCTAGAATCTAAACCCACTCTTGATACTGTAAATTTGTTGTTCTTTTGCAGGTTGACCGGTGGGGTTTAGTTGAAGGCGGCCACGATGTTGATACTGCTGATCTTCGAGTACAAGTCTCAGCTGCTACAGTGTTTATCGGACTTTCAAGGAAGATTAGTTACTGACTATTTTCTTTAACTTTGATTAGTTATAACATGAGAATAAGCTTTCCCATTTTGCTCATAGCAATACTTCCCCTTTGTTTGTAACTTTCCAATGCACTTAGCACAGATATTTGGCATATATTGTGGCATTTTTACTAATTTGAATTTTTGTATCAACCAGTGTGTTTCGAATGCATTGTTGTGACTTTTCAGGGAATACTTGGTCGTCTTATATGAATCAATTATTATAGGATGAACAACTGCACATGCGCATGTAGTAATTACATTAAAAACTATAATTGTGAGATGATTGAGATATTTTGTAATTATTTTTTAGGTTAATCATTGGGTATTAAATATATATAGACTTGTACACCATGCCACCTAAATATGTCTGGTGCTCAAAGGAGAAAAAAGAAATGGAATAAAATTGCATTAACTCAATGTTAAGCAGGGGATATTGACAATTATTTTAAAAGCAATAATGTGAATGCGTTGGATGAGGATGAAATGGAGATTCTACCTGCCTGTGTTAATAAAGTAGATGATGAGGAAGGATGAATAAGTGAGTCAATCTCCTTGTGTTAATGAAATAGATGACAAGGAAGAAGAAGTGATGAAATCTGTCTGTGTTAACGAAATAGATGATAAATAAAAAAGGGTTGTTTTTCTCTAAATTTGGATCATACTGGGAATAGAAAAATCTTTGATCAAAGAACAAGGAATTACATAGTTGAAATAGGTTCAGAAAGAGTAGATGACATCTCGTTTCTGAAAGATTGTACAAATAGACATTTTGATTTTTCACAATATAAGCGATTAATACTAATAGGGCAAATAATTGATAGAAGATGGCTAGTATATTCAGTGTCATACATGATCTTCTGCTTTTATGGCAAGTTGCTTAAAATGTCAAAAAATGTGACCAAAGTTGGCCAACTGGGTAATGATGGATTCGAAGATTTGCATAATTTTCATCCGTCTATTACAAACACATGAAGGAAATGGGGAGCATTTACATTGCATGACTAGTTGGATTGAATTGGAAAATAGATTTTGCACAAAAACTACAATTGGCGTTCAATTATTGAACGATGAAGTAAGAGAATATTGGAGATATGTTATATTTATTAACAAAGACAATCGCTATTATAAAACGACTTGCCAAAAGCACATTGCCATTTCAAGGAGATGATGAAAGGTTACATGTTGAGAATAATGACCTATTTTTACAAATGGTAGAAATGATTAATAAGTTTGATTCAGTAATGCAAGAAAACTTTTAGTATGCTAAAGCATGAGAGATTCAATATACATATTTTAGCAAAAAAAATTCAAAATGAGTTGATACAATTGTTGGCTAATGAGGTGAGAAGTTCAATTGTCAAAAAAGTTAAACATGCAAAATATTTTTCATTTATACTTGATTCTATTCCAGATACAAGTCACGATGAGCAAATGTCTTTAATAGTACGATTTGTAGGTGATTCAGCAAACTTACCTATTATTGAACATTGGCTTGAATTTTTGAAGGTAGACGACACAATAGGACTTGAAATTGAAATTAAGTTTCAAAAGATTTTGATCAAATTTGATCTGGATATTGATGACATTAAAGGGCGAGAGTATGACAACAAATCAACACATCGTTCTCCTCTTGTACCAAGTGATGAAAATTTTTCAAAAATAATGTACAAGGTTTTTAACAATAAAGTTGTTACTAACAAGTTGGGAAAGTCATGTTGAGAGTGTGAAGCCTATAGTGGAGCAAATTGCAAAAATAAAATATGCTTTACTTGATTTGGCAGAAAGTAACTAAGATCCTAAAGTGAAGAGTGCAATCAAGTTGATAGCAACATATGAACTTTAGAATGTTGAGTTCTTGCTTAGCATGATAATTTGGTACATGTTGTTGCATGCAATCAATATTGTAAGTAAATTTCTTCAAACTGGATCCGTAGAAATCATGTTATCGTCCTCTTGTAAGGACTTGTTTCATTGCTTGAAGATTATAGAAAATTGAATTTGATATTGCCATGGATTAATTGACAAAAAAAGGCAAGTTGTATTTACAGAAAAAACATGTAATTTGAGGAGAAAAGCAATTTGATGAATGCGGGAATGATGAGGAAAAGTAATCAACCGAAAAATCTTTTAGAGTTGAATTTTTTATTTTTTTAATAATTGAGCAAACTCTATCTTCTTTACGGACTCGATTTGAACAATTCAAACAATATGATGGCACATTTGAATTTTTGTTTAATTTGAAGAGGTTAAGGGACACAACTTTTTCAAGTTTTTTGAACTCTTGTATGAATCTTGAGAAACATTCGAAGCATAATGGACGTTCAGACACCGTTGGAGATGGCAGTTACAAGTTTTGAGATATTATATACCAAGTGAAGCAACAAGAGAAATTGAAGTGTTTATTTAAAGGCATTGAATGTTTGTTTGCTAAATGCTTATATTGCTTATAAAATTTTGTTAACCATATCAGTTATTTTTGTATCTGTAGAGAGAAGTTTCTTAAAATTGAAATTGTTCAAATCCTATCTCTGATCAACTATGTCACAAGAAAGATTGAATGGATTGTCTATGTTATCAATAGAGAAAGAAATGGTTGAGCAGCTAACTTATTCAGATTTGATTAATATTTTTGCCTCTAAAACAGTAAGGGAAATAGTATTTAACTAATTGTTTGAAAAATTGTTAGTTTAATTGTTAGTTTTGTTATCTTATAATATAAACATTTTCTATAATATATTTATTTGTTGTTTTAATGTTAAGTTTTTAAATTGGCAATAGGTTGCATAATATACCATTAAATTTTGCACTTACGTTGATTTCATCGAGATGACTAATTTATTGACTTCGCCTCGGGCTTTGAAAATCACAGGACCAGTCCTAAGGGGTCGAGGACAAGGACGACTATTTATGGCTAAATCATCCACCAGATTTAAAAAAGGAAAACATAGAATATTTCCCATTAATAAAATTGAGCAAGAATTTCAACTCCCATTCAAAATATATTACCAATAATATTTTTTGGAGGAAAAAGGAGGAAAAGGTAATGCAACAATCATACAATTCTAATCAAATGAGAGACTAAAGGAAAAAAGTTTACCTCAACAATCAGGAATTCAAATTGAGATGTTCTAATGCGACAAACACTCAAACTGGGCTACTCTAATTTACCTCAACATTAAGGAATTCAAGGCAAATAATTAAAACCCAATTCAAAAAGGGAAATGAGTTAAGATGGCCACCGTTCATAAGAAATTTGTACAAAGAGCCTTTGACCGAAATTGTCAAAATAAAAGAAATTTTAATTATTTAAAACAGTCAAAAGACACTTTTACCCTTATGTTGTAAAATGAGATTGAAGAAGAATTGGAGATTTTCTTTTCATTCATTCACACTTGAAAACCTCCCCAAACCTCTTCATTCTCCAAATTCAAAATCCTCTTCTCCTTCCAATTTACCTCCTTCGACATTTAACCGTTCTCCTTCAAGTCTAAAGCTATCTCTTCTCCTTCTCCTTCAAAATTTCACAGATTCTCAAGTCAAGGGTAAGAGAGAGGTGCTCTCAACTCCAATAAGAGAAGGTTCCACTAGAGTGCCTTTGATTTCTTGAGTTCTTGTGTGTTTTTGTCTTAGATTTAAAATCTCTTATTCCATTTGGAATTTTTAAAACTTATTATTTTGTTTAGATAGATTTATAAAAGTTTCAGTTGGTATTCGACTATTTCCAGTCAGTGGTTTACAGCTCTTGGGTGGTTTGATCAGTTCCAGTTCTGCATTCCAGGGTGAGATTCGGTCAGCATTTGCTTGGGTGTTTAGTTCGTATTTCTGTGGATTGCAAGGAGTTAGCTTCAATGGATCAGGTTTGGAATTGTGATTGTTTGGCCTTTCTCTTCCGCGAACAAGTTTATTTGTATATGTATGCTAATTTATGAATTGATGATGATTTGTGAAAGTTTTAACACTATTTTTTTGTTGAATATTGGGTGTGATTAATTAGCTACTGAAAATTCAATCGAGTTGATTATATTACTCCCTATTATATAGGTTTGAATTTTGTTGATTAGTGAAGTTGAATATATATTTTCTATATTATATTATTCAAATGTTTAACTTGCACCAGAAAATTGCATTGTAGTAGAATATTGAGTTTTTACTTAAATCATCAAAGCAAGGAGCTTCGATTGTTAACTACTCTTTAAGCCACCGTCTCTAAGTATCAAAATAAGAAACTATAAGAATCAATTGCATATCAGAACAATTTCGAAATAAAAGAAACACGAATTTCCCCATGATTTCACATGACAAGTGCAGTATTTAAGAGCATATGTAGACCATGATAAAATAGTGAAAATAGACAAAGGATAAAGACAGGAAATGGTCATTTACAGTGAATTAATACCATTCCAATGGAGCTGGGAATTGTGAGGGAGAATTTGTGGTCATAGTTATAATATTTGGTCAAAAGATCTGTAACAAAACTAAGTACCTTACAGTCAATAGGAACAGATACTAATTTTGATCATAATAAAGGGTCTTATAAACACATCAATGTGGGAGAGTCCATAAACCAAGAAAGGAAATTTAAAAAGCCAGTTGCAAGAGAATAACATTTTTGATAATATATTTGAAAAGGACAATACATAATTGAGATAGTAAATCTTCAAATGAGAGCAATAACACACACCTTCAAACACCTACAATTCAGGAGTTGTTGCAACTCTCAGAGATTGGAAAAAAATTATGGATAAAGGTAAAGAGAAACAAAAATAAAATCCAACTTAAGCAAATAGAAAAGCATATTGACAAAGAAATTAAGCAAGATAATTTACTTAATCAATGCTAAACTCATTAATTAAAATGTTAATAATCATTTTTCCAAAACACATTTTGGGAAAGCAGAGAGATTTGAAGAATTAGGTAATATATACCTTGTTTTAATATTTCTAGTTTTTATATTTGTTCGTATGTGCTTTACTACCATCAGTTATTCTAATATTTGTACATATTTTATAATTTACAGTGCTATGGAGAAGATTCTTCAAGTTGAAGCTACAATTACAACGAGATATAGATTGTAAATAGTGTGAGATGTTTATGAGAAGCTCGATACAAATTACAAAAACAAGCTTCGCGAGAGCTGCTTCGGATCTCTCCTTTGGTTGAAGGATAT